AGATTTACAGCACACACTAAGTGTGAGCTGCTCTATTGATCGATATCAAAAGTATCTGGATACTTAATATCTAGACAAGTGATAATCAAGAGTTTCACCTTGTGATCCATTAAGAAGGCAATGTGAACTGCATTCTTAGTCAGTGGGTAGTTAAACTACATGTCTAAGGGCAGGCAGAAGGCATAGGCCTGGGAAGAGGAGGGGACAGCAGTGCATTGCCCCCCCACTTTGGACGGAGGGGCAGCGCCCTCCAACTTTGGGAAAATTCAACATTAGCCTTATGGCGTTGCATGGAAAGAAGAAATATGAACTTTTGAGTTTTAACTTTTGCCCCCTCAACTTTTTAACCTGCCCCCTCAACTTTTCAAACGTTCCCGGGCCACTGGCGGACCGCGGAAGGCACCTCAGGATGTAAGGGCAAAGTAAATATCTAATTCTCGCATAGAAAAGCATCCCCAAGAATTGAAACCCCCATAGAAGAAAATCAATGTTAACAATTTTATCTGCAATAATGCGGTAACTCATCTTCCATTCCATATGCTCTTCTTTAAATGTCGGGTGTCAGTGAAAAGTTCCAACGGTACCTGTTCCAACATTAGTAATAATGTAGGTATAGTATAGGTGTTTTTCGATGTGAAATATCATTGTTAGTTATTTGCAAACATCAAAAAGCTAATTAAATGCTGATTTTCCTGTTATTAGTTAATTTAGTCTACTTTCAATAACGGCACAAGTAGCTTTCGGTTGCCAATGTAGGTTGTAGGTGTATTTTTGGTAAGTTTAGGTTAGGTTTTGTTAGTTTAGGTTAGGTTAGGTAAGGTTAGGTTAGGTCTGGTTAGGTTTGGTTATATTTTGTCCGAGCTATGTGCCTATACCCATCAGTGTTCATAATTTGGTTTAGGTGTAAATTTTCTAGCTATTTTAGGTGGTTATTGAAGTTAACACCATTGGTTAACATTAATCAATAGATATAACTAATCTAGCCACAGCGGAAAGGTAAGGTACTATTGGAAATTTCGACCCAGGTGCCCCAGCCACAATTTTGTGTGGCACATTCCCCTGTTGTGCTTCACCTTCTGCCACCCCTGTACCTTGGAACCGAATACTTAAATGATTGCCTTTATATGCAAGTTCCATTCCAGCTATACACTGGCGGAACCAGGGGAGTTAACCTGTTTCCTGAATTAAATTGACTCTCACCAGTCATTTTGAGAATGTGGCAAGTTGCAACTCCCATGCTTCAATGTTGCAAAAATTATCATTTGGGACCCTACCAATAAATTTCAGAAAATGATGCCCATTTCAACTTTCACTGAACAGGAAAGAACGTAAAGAAATTTTAAATAAAAATATTTTTAGGTGGACAAAAATGGGCAGTTTTTGCCCAATAAAGGTTATCCTATGACTGCAAGGCCACCTGAAATGCGTTAGACAGATCTTACTAGAGTTGTCCTTAGACATAGTTGTCGGGTTTGTCTTACTGGGCCACCTTATTCATGTGCAATTAAATAATTAGGGGGCTGTATCAAAGTATAATCTACAGCAACCTAGTAACCTCAGTAATAACCTATAGAATTCCTATATTTTAACCTATATTTTGCTAAGATACAGTTGGTGGTCATAATGCTGTCCCTCATTCACACAACATTCATTGCATCATCACGGTTATCACTAGCACCGAATAAAGATAAATCGATTGACAAAATTCAAGGCATACAACACAGAAGCATAATTACATCAAATTTATATCTGGCAACACCTTACTCACCATCAGAGACCCGCACGACGCGGACACAGCACAAGCCGCACAAGCCAAAGGACGCGCGCCGAAAAAAACATGGCGGACGTGACGCAGTTGCACCGCAGTTGTCAAATAACTTCAAGTGTGTTTTAGCACAAAGGTACATGTTGTACAAAAGGTCGTATGTTAGTGTCCCCTGCTATGTATAGTTTGTTCGAAAACACGTTTTGCGTAAGTGTGGCATATAGTGTATAAAACACGCATAGTGCTTGCTGACACACCACTAGTTGACACACCTTGGCTTAGTTTTGTAACTTATATGTTTGTTTACCACAAATAAATGTGCTTACATACAAACCGTTTACTAACCTCATTGCTATCTTCAGCTTTTGTGTGTCTTAATACTATCTTTTTGTTGAGCAATTAACACGGTAGTTTGTAAACTTTTTTTACAGTGTAGGGCGCAGGACGCTAGACTTCAGAGTATGGACGACGGACGTGTACTCCGTGCTTGGGTATGGGGGCAGGACGTGGGGCTGCGGGGTCGGGGAGGGCTCGGGGTGGCTTCCCGTCGCCGCCGGCATTCTTGGCAGACCGACGGTCGGAGGAGGGACGGCCACGACGCGTCCATTTGTCTTGCCGCGGACGGCGCGGCACCGGCGCTGACGGCGGAGCTAAGTCAGCGGCTGACCGCTGCTGACGGTCAGCACCGGGCCCGTCTTACCGGCGCTGACAGCCGCGCTGGCAGCCGCGCCATTGCCGTGATTGGATGTGTGTGGATGCCGGCCCCTGTTATTCGATGAGGGAATAGTAACGCTGATCGGGGAAGACTTAGACTACAATACCTACATGATGTTCGTTTCTGACTGAGTTTATTCAGTCTTTTTGAAGTCCCAACTTGCTCCCTAATCATAACGCACTTTATTCGTGACCCGTGGTAGGAGACATTTGGCTTTCAGTGCATTGTGGTCCCATGATTTAGTTTTCTCATGAACCAACAAGCCAAGATTTGGGAGGGGCAGGAGTATCGTGGACCGCCCGACCCGCGTCCTCCATCCTGAACCTCTATCCTGCCGCAGCCACCAAGAAGCTGCTCCCGCACGATGAAGGCAATTACGATGAATCCAATCAGCTACCGGCTGCTTGCCACTGGGTGGAGGCAGAAAAGGCTCCCTACCAGCAGCATCGTTAGCAGGGAACAGCGGCAGCAGACCAGTAGCAACAGGGTAGGGGCAGATTATTGCAGAGGCAACGGAGGCTTAATTAGAAGCCATATCATAGGGCGGGAAAGCACTTAGGCTGGCTATATGACACAAAGACGGTGCTTTATCCAGAGAGGCCTTTCCTTCCGGATAAATATTGGAATCGATAGGAAAGCTTGCGTTTATTATGAGCTCGCTTGTGAATCAGCCTATAATATACCTGCCATGAACTGTGTTCGCAATGGACATCCTGACCACTGATCAGTCCCACATAAAGGCTAGGGAAAGTCAACAACCAGTGGTGCTGTTCCCAGGTCCCACGATCACCCTCCCCTCTCTCCCCTCCCCACTCCCCTTCCCTTCCTGTGTCCCGTCATCTGCAGGGCACGTCCACAGTCTCAGATCATTAATCTGGGTCCAGTGCGCCTGTGTGCAGTGGCGAATCCAGGGGGGGGGGCAAAATGGGCATTTGCCCCCCCCCCCCAACGGCATAATTTTAACATTACGCCTATGGACGATGCATGGAAAGAATCGATAAATTGTTATGGTTTGCCCCCCCCCCAAACTCTGAGCTGGATCCGCCTCTGCCTGTGTGTGCGTGCGTTTCTCTGCGTTTCAGCTGCGCCGCCACGGGAAGTGCGTTCTCCTCATGTCTCCGGATATCGTCTCCGGTCCCTGGTTTGGTCCCGTGTCGAGTATCCGTATTGACTGCCGTATTTTGGATCTGCATCGTCTCCGCGTTCCATATAAATATCGTCACGGTATGCTATGTATTTAACCCTCGCATGTGTAGGGGGTCGGATGGACCCCCCCCCATGGTTTTTCGCGAATAACTCGCGTAAAAACCGGCCGATCGCGACGAAACTTTCAGTACCCTCGCATTGATCAATTTTACACCTACCCTGAAAATTTCATGACCCTGACCCAAATGACCTTTGACCTGTGACCTCTTTTCCGAGACCATGTTTGGCCGGAATCGCGATTTCGCGTATGTCGGCTCGCACTAGCCGCGTGTTTGCAAGCTTTCGTGGTTTCAAACGTTCAAACATGTGATTTGATGTTACTCCCGTGTGTGTCAAGGTCACCTGAAGGTCAGGTCAGGTCATTGACCTTTGGTGACCTCGGGTGACCTCGGGTCACTTTTTCGAGTTTTACATGTTTCTAGGCTAGTTTTTGGAGCTGAATTCGAATTTAGCAACCATTTGAACATTTACGAAGTAGTTTTGGTGACTTCGTAACATGTTACGAAGCTGTCAGAGGCGGTTGACACGTACTACGAATACCCGTCACGACGCCTACTGGTTGACCTGACCTGACCTGACCCGACCTGGTCTAAATGCTTCAAGATATCATCTGTGATCTAAACTAACACGATATTCGTGATCAGCACCCCGAAAAACCCCTTAGCAGCCACACTTTACGACTTTCTAATAGGTCCCGATTTTCCCGACTTTGGGTCATTGACCTGACCTGGAAGGTCAACCAATGACCTAGAACCTTAAAATTGGGTATCATCGGCTTCCTCTCGTCACGGGCAACACGCTCGTTTTTTCCGCGAAGCTCTAGCTCGATCAGGGGCCAAACGGCAAGGGGGGGGTCCAACCGACCCCTCTCCCCTACACATTAGAAGCTGGAAAACGCCGCACACATGCGAGGGTTGCCTACGGTTGATTTTCAGAATGATGCACAGAAGTAATGTCATGCTTTTATTTTCTATATCGGTATCGTTTATATCGTGCCTCTCGTATGTTGCGATGTCTCTGTAAGCTACAAAATACAATGCAACGCAATACGAATAAAGTTTGCATACGTTTGAAGTGTCCCTAGAAAGAACATTTATCAATAGAAATTCGGTGTACCTATACGCTACTGTGTTTGTCGTACCTGTATTGTGATTGCTGATAACGATCAACGAATTAACGTCAAAACGATCACGATGAAAAAGATGTTCACATGATGCTGCTTCAGCTGCAGGTTCGATGGTCTTTTTTCTATGACCGTCGAGAGCCCGTGTCTTTGTCGTTTCACCACTCGCCCGTCCCCAATAACACGCCATATTTACGGCATTTTATAGATACATTTCGTCTACTGCAGTTCATAACCCGTTTTGCTCAACAATTCAATCTCAGACAGTACGTTAGCACAATTTGACAAGTACGCACGCGCAAAGAGGGTCCAAATAACCATCTGGGAAAACGAATCATAGCATTTGAGTATGGGGCTCACGCCCCCGTCGCAAGCGGTCACGACTAGGTTGCCTGTTAAATAATACTGCTAACACGTCATATGCATCAACTCCTAGCGCAAACTCAGGCAAATCATCTCCTAAAGCCGCCCACCACGGCCTGGATCGAGAAACCTCGCACGAACACTCACAACACTCACGTTTGGTTTGAGCTATTTACATCTGTACAGCCGAACTTGGTGGTAGCAGTTCGCACACGGCAGCGACGTCGGGCAGAGAGGGGGACGGTGCGTTCGCGCCCGGGTCAAATTTCGACACCGACGCGACGACACCGACGCGACGACAGGGTCAGTCGATCTCGACGGTGCTTGTGAACGCTCGGCGGCTTTGAAATGAGAGGTGCCGAACTTCTGAGGGGTGATAGCTGGTCAAATGCAGGGGGAAGGGTCGCGTGGCAGGGACGGGCGTCCCCACGGTCGCAGGAGCACGTCCTGGCTGGCGCGTGCCCAAGAAAGGCGCCGCTGTCACCGGAGCCTTGACCCGGGGATAGAAGAGGATCCGGAAGGGAATGAACAGGGCAGGGGACCGACTGAAGGGGCCAGGACAACAGGACCGACACCGTTCCCCTCCGCCGACGTCGTGCAATCCCTGAGATTGAGTATGGCTTCTCGAGTATTCGCGTTGGCCTGACGGCGAGCGGCGCATCCGCATCATGAGCTGGGGCGTCCTCATCATGAGCTGGGGCGTCCTCACTGAAGCGTCCTCGGCGCTCATCGCCCCGCCCGTCTGCATAGGCTACAACGCTATGTCAGAGCTGCGCTCGGCGACACCGGCAGCGTCCACAGGTCACCGAGGTCACCGGGGTCACGCAGGTCATCACCGACCCCCGGAGAAGAGCGCTGACCTGGCTAACACAGAATAACGTCGGCCGTTCGCAGCGTCCGATCGCAGAACGCGCCGACAACGTAAAGCATCTAAATAAATTAAATACAAACTATAACAATATAACCTTTGGTTCGTACGAAATCCCACCTTATTGCTACACATGAAGAGCCGTGGGACGGGCGCGTCGCATCGGGCGCGGCGCAGCGAATCCCTGAAATGGCGCACGGGCGCGCCACGATCGTCGCGAGAGACGTTCGCGACGCGACGACGCCTATTGCGGTGTGTATTGCCACGCGTGCGGCGCCGCTGCCGCTAGGAACCGGACTGCGCGTCGCCGACAACCACACACGCACACACGGGCACAACTAAGTACGCGGGCCCCGATTACAGGTTTGTGAGACCGTACTCGGGTTTGACAGCACCTGGATGCGGCATATGCGCGCCGGCCATCGGGTGCTGGAGGGGGTGTAGACCCGGCGCCGGCGGCGGCGGCCGCGGCGCCGCCGCCTGCTGCGCCTGCTGCTGCTGCTGCTGCTGCTGCTGCTGCTGCTGCTGCTGCGCGGGTGCTGCTGCGTCTGCGCCTGCGTCTGCTGCGGCTGCGGTACCGTGCCACTAGCCGTGGTGGTCGCAGTCTTTGGAGGGATTGTCGTCGTGACGCCGGCGGGGTTGGTCTTGCGTCGGACGTTCTTCGTGTTGGGCAGCTTGTTGTCCTTCTTCCACTTCATGCGCCGGTTCTGGAACCAGATCTTGATCTGCCGCTCGGTGAGACAGAGACTGTGCGCGATTTCTATCCGCCGCCGTCGCGTCAGATAGCGGTTGAAGTGGAACTCCTTCTCGAGCTCGAGGATTTGGTGCCGTGTGTAGGCGGTCCGCTGCCGTTTTGGCTCCATTCCAGGTTGGAAGGCGCCATTGTCTGAGAAAGAAGAAAACAATTGGGTTAGCTAGCTGCACTCCAATCTATTCATTAGCGTTAGTGGTCTTATAATGAATTTATTATCTGTTGCACCTTTACAATTAGTTCATTAAAATCCCATTTTACCCCAGATACTTCGGTACAGATAACCGACGAGCAATAAAGCTGATGTTGACAGACCAGCGCCACGTCAGTTGTTGTTTTGAAAAAAGAAGCAGCAATTGGCATTAACTCTTTGTCTTTTCAACACTCTTGTTGGCAACAGACTTCGCAAAATTTATTTGTACGTATGATGTAATAATTGTGGATCCAGGGACTTCGTTTCCGTCAAGGTCAAGGCTTCTGAACGGCAATCTGTTAGAATACCCCGCTCAGCTAAAAGCTTCGACACCCAGCAACTTGCAATTAATTCAAGCATCTATTCTTTTCGAAACTCAGTATAGTTACATGACATGAAAAACAATTTCTTTGGAGGTTCGGTGAAATAGTTTCCCCCCAGTAACGTACCGAATAAAACCGTCAACAATCATCAGCGCTACGTTTTTTTTTTCAGTGAATAAGTGAGTGCAGTATTTGGAACTGGAAATGGGCTGTGCACTTGTGCTATGCTATGCATGTGATACATGATGTATCATCATACATCAACTGAAATGTGGAGGTTTCCATTTTGACACCCCACATGATATTCCAGCTCTTTGAACGTAATCCATCTAGCCCTTATCAAAAAGAAAGACTAGTACCTACTGCACGTGCGCCCGTGCAAAGTAAGATCCCAGACTATACCAAAGTTGTTATTTGTGCTGCTGCTGCTGCTGCTATAACCCATCTAACGGGGCTCCAGCAGCCCATCAGCTTATAACTCCCATCGGTCCAGCCGTTCTCGAGACGTGCAGATTCTAGCCGCCCCATCTGTGATGTATGACAATACATCGATGACACATGGTTATAGCATATAGGTATACGGTAGTGAGCTAGGTCGCTTCTTGTCAATTATCTTACTGATCATCTATACTAGTAGTTAAAACATATAGTGGTAAAAGTATTAGTAAACTCTAATAAGGAAAAATTCATGTATTGTTCACACTTTTCAGTACGCTATCAAAATCATTTCCCACATTTACTATGAGGCATAACTCTGTTATCGTCATTTTTGGAAGTCGATTCACATCGCAATGCACTCAACTACAATGCCCAATGCACATTGTGCAATGTTGCTGCTCAAATCTAAGATTGAATCGAAATATTGACCCTCAACCGCGTGAGTCATTCAAAGGCAGGACAAGAAAAAAAAAACGACCAGCAGTTGGTGTCAATGCATTCCAACGAATTTGTTTCATTAAGCTGCCATAGACCACATTCTCAAATTAACACTTTTTACGCTAAGTCAAGCAACGTTGTTAAGTAGTAAGTTTCGTTATCGTGAGGAATCTAGCTGGATCTATTCAATTGGTATAAAGTACTAAATAATTGCTCTTTTGTCTAACGATAATCGAACATGCATGTATGCATCTGCCTTTGGCACAAAAAAGCCGCAGGCCCCGCACTTTTCGACGCCTATTTAGCAGCGTCAAAGGCTGGAATCACGCCTGACCCTACTCCCTTCACTCATGCATCACTGAATTCGCGCGTGACTCCACCCCGTAGAACCGATGTGTCACAATGGGGACCCCCTTGCCTCCCCCTCCCCACGGCCGGTCCAGCTCAATGGTAGCCGGGTGCTAATAAGATGGAACGGGCCATTTAATTACGTCCGCCCTTATCCACACTAACGATAATTGAAGCCGGTTTCAGGACGATGTGACGATTGTCGGTATGCTTGTCGTAAGCAGATGTTTTAGATATACCCACTTTTTGTCGCTGCTTATAAAAAGCTTATCAGATGGTGAGCTTGTACCTGACTGAGGTATTTGCTATAGCGTCCGTACCCTTTTAGCCGTTGTACAAATCTATTCGTAAAGAGGGGTAGGCACGCTATTAATATCATGCCGTTCAAAAAGCAATTTTTCATGCCGTCTCATTCAAACGTATCCACGAAATAGCAGTCTTATAGGTACTAGTGTTGAACGCAAACATGCGGCTTGTATTCTACTGCACACTGCGTCGAAATTTGACGGGTTATATCTGTCATTCATGGGCCAGTTGAGGTCAGAGACCTCGGCAGGCCTTCCGGATAGGTCAAATATAAGCCGTTCTCACAACGGCTATCTGGCACACATTTGCTTTACATTTGGAGTTGATTTGGTGCATATTTGGTCAAAGTAGGTTCATCGTGTTTCTTTGAAGTTAACAGTTTGGGCTGGACAGTTGTTTATATGTACACCTACTTCTTGCGATTAAAACACTGAAATAAATTAATGACATAAAATATTTGTTGTAAAAGAGCTTTGGTGCAGATTTGGGCAAGTTTGGTGCATTCACCAGATAACCAGTCGTGAAAACGGCTGTTAGAAAACCAGGACGTTCACTTGTAGGGAGAGTGGGGTAATTTGGCCCGTGGTGTAAATTGGCCGCCCCCACCTGTACGATGTACTCGTATAATAAAAGTGAGTGAAATAACTCTAGTCTCTATTCATTTGTCATGGGTAGAAATAACTGGAGGACAAATGTCAAAACTTTGCCCCTCGTAGTTTTATTCAAAATTAATAAAACGCTAATGTCATTAGAAAATGGTAACTTTTACTTCTGTGTACAAAGTTGTATAACATGTAGTACTTGGGCTAAAAACGAATTCAGACATTATAGCGCCATTCTTGGGGGTGTTCAGCGGTTCCAAGAGCAATTTCATCTAATTCCGTATAGCCGTGATGACTTTATAAACAAAAATTTTCAGAATGGTAATATGGGGTAATTTGGCCGGGACTAGCGGGGCAACTTGGCCGGTGCGCTCATGGTCACTATGCTCGGACGGCCGAGTTTTCATGGTCAATTGTACCATAAATGAAATAATTAATGACCAAATTTGACTACTATGATGCTTTACTTCCGATTAGTCAACTGTAAGAGCATGTGACGTCATCAAAGGTTACCAAACGTTTTTTGCTAATAAATCCTTACATAAAAATGGTACAGCCGCACAAATGGTCTCATTCTGTTCAGCTCGCCAAGGCGCATCGAATGATATGCATGATGACCTTGAATCACGTGAACTTGAGGTCAAGCGACCTGAGGTAACATGACCTGAGGTCAACCTTTGAACTTGACTTCTCGAGGTCAAAACATATATGTTTCGATGCGGAATGACGAGAGAATTACGATGGTACTCGGAGTTTTGGCCTAGCTTGATTACTTCAAAAGTTATTCGTAAAAAACTGTCTTCGCATCTAGAGCCGCTAATTTGGCTATTTTGACCCCTGTGACCCCATGAGTCAACTTCCAAAATGTGGTAAATGCGTCATAGGACACACGTCATTGCTGAATCTGAAACTGACTCGCAATATAACAGAAAATCCCGACCGCAAACTAACACCGGCCAAATTGCCCCACACCCCCGGCTAAATAACCCTGCTAGTGGGGCAATTTGGCCGCCTTGCAGACCTTTGTAATACGTCACAATTTCAATATAAGTAATTACTCTATCATTTCAAGTTCACTGTCCAGTAAAGTAAAATGAATGCGACACCTGCCAGCGTAGAGAAAATGCAGAAATGTGTTGTCAATTTTAAGTTACATCGTTTTCTAAAAAAAGCGGCCAAATTCCCCCACTCTCCCCTATGTATGCGGACTCTAAGGGGAAAACTGGCAAGATATTCGTAGTAATGTTCTCTTCAAAATCCAAACTGTATGTAAATCAGCTGCATTCAATATGGAACATTCGTGTGCGATAATCAAATCGGTTGGCATTAAAAGGCATTGGGAAATATGTGTATGTTGTGAGTTGATGTTAAAGTAACCATCCCACCTTAACATTAGTTTTGAGTTGAGATAGCCAAATTGGTGGCCATGGCCTGCAA